GGCTGTTTACCCAGGTGCTGGCCGAGACGCACACCTGGCACAACGCGCCCGGAGCCACTCACTCCTCCAGCCCGGCCAGAGCTTGTAGCCACCTGCTCAGATGCCCAGGAACTCAAGAGCAGGAGGAGGGGAGCATCATGCCAGCTTGTTCCCAGCCCCGCTTTGTCACTACAAGGCCTGACCACTGCTGTGGTTACCCCTGACCCGGGCTGCTTTTGAGCTAATGCTTCTCTGGCAATGAATAAGCTGCTATTAACTGCAGGGGAGTTTTGAGATGCTCTGCAGCATACATCTGTGACGGATGTGAGACTCATGCATCACATTTTTTGATAACTGCATGTTTCAAGTGTTCCTGCTGTCGAGGCTTCTCATCCCAAAGAGACGAGAGCTAGAGGTTCAGAGCCAGCCCACGGAAAACCTGCAGGTGTCTGCACCTCGCTGCTGGCCTAGGGCTCAACACTCACCCACTCAATCTCACCTCCCTGGGAAAGCTTCAGAGCAAACTTCAAAGCCTACACATGCCTTAAAAGGCCTGTTTATCAGGCAGCAGGGAGAGCCTCTCATGCAATGCTCCTCTGGGCAGCCTGGCACTGCCTCTGCTGCCCTTTACTGCACAAGTTTGGATCCCCTTGCCCTCCCTCACACCCTTCCACCACCTCTCACCCACAGCGTAAAACAGGCACGGTCCTCCTAACGCATTATTGTAGCCAAACACTGGCCAAGTTGTCCATCCCTGACTCCAGGGATCACTTCTTGTTGCCCCAGACCCCATGGGGCTGGGTTTTGGAGTAAGTGTTACTGTCCCATTGCTCTGTCCCGTTTTCAGGGACGAGACTATCAAACTGTTCTTGCTAAGAATGAAGGCTATTCAACCACATCTGCCTGCACCTGGGAAAACCTGCGCGTACAAGAACGAAGATTCCCAGCACAAGGAAGATCCTCAAGTCCAGGAGGAACACCAGCGAGGCTGCAGGACAGCATAGGGCCCACACATGATTCCACGAAAGCCAGGCATTACCCCTTTCCAGAAGTACCCTGCACCTGGCTTTCTCAGGCGCTGACTCAGAGGAGATCTGGGAAAAACCAAACCCCAAACTCCCCACACTGTCCCTCTTGGCCTCTGCTGTTGGCAGATCCTTCCACGCCGAGCCTGTGCTGGACCTCCAAGAGCTGAACAACTGATTCAGCCACAACTGCAGCAGCACCAACGCTCACCCCGAGAGCCCCTGCTACAACAAAAGCACTGTTGTGTGAGGTAACATCCAAAACCAGAGAAAGGGGATTCCTGTCCTCCCGCGTTTGCACTGGGGACACGAGAAAACTACACCACATTGTGATGACATTGAGAAGTATTTAGTTTCTGGAAGAATCAGTTACTTTCATGTTTTTTTGGAAACACCCACTGTTATTTATCAGAGCATACAAGTATAACAGCTAACTGAAGCGAGCTCTCACGCTTGGAGGTTTTGAAGTTCCTAAGAAGCCTTTTCAACTGGGTATTTCTGTCTCACACCACAGCTTTAGAATTGACTTAAGCCAGCACTGCCACTAAGCAGCATGGTCCCCTCGTCCTCCATCGCCTTCTCCCTCGTAAGGCAGCAGGCATTCATCTGCTGCAACAGCGAACGCGACAAGCTCAACACTAATCCAGAATAAAATGGGTTTGGTTTAGCCCAGAGGAGTCCTGTGATCCAGCTCACTGGATGGTCACGGGAATAGCAAAAGATAGCGGGTGAGGCAAGGGCAGGACCACGTCTCTTCCTTGGCAGCAGCGTCACCGATGGCAGAGCTGCACCGTCCGACGTGAGCATCAGTGTCTGGGAGTTCCCGACCAGGCACCCCGCAGCACATGCGTCTCTGCCTCACACCCACAGCTCTCTGAGCTGGATTAGCGCAAAGACAGGCCCACACCTGCTTGAAGGGTCCCATTTATTGTAAAGTCCCGTGCTCGGTACCCAAGCCGTGCCCAAAAAATTTCAAGTAGCCATTCACCTCGTGAAGTTTATCTGCTTTCTGAGTTTGCTTCTTCCGGCTCCTCTGTGCAGCAACTCGATTTTTCTCTCTCCTCCTTACCTTCCTGTCATCTTCTTCGTGACTCTGGAAGACATAAGCCAGAAAACACCTCGCTGTTTTTTCAGGTGCAGACGGGAGACTCCCGAAGTCAGGCGGGTAAGAGTAAGGGTTGCTGAGGGTGAGCACATACTCCCAGTTTCACAGCACCTAACCCCGTGGATCGCACGGTGCATCCCTGCTGCACAGGTGGGGCCGGAGGCGAAGGGGCGGAGGCCGGCAGAGGTGCCTGGGGGACCCTGCAGAGACCCGGCGGCGGCTCGCCGGACCG